TGGCGCGGTGGTGCTGCTCTGCACGGTAAGCTGCACTCGGCACGGAGATGCTTTTCCAGCTTTCTCACACACTCTTTACCATGCACACACACACACACACACACACACACACACTCTGGATGCCGTCGCGTCTTTTCGGCTGTTTGGTTCATTTTTTTCTGGTCTCGCAAGTGGCAGTAGTGTAAATTCAAAGCAGATGTGTAAAATAGCTGGATTTATTGCCACACTATGGTTCAACAAATTAATCTGTAAATTTTATACAGTAGAATTAATACGGACGATTGGATTTTTGTCTCTTTAAAAACAAAATATATGAATGAACCTATATGTCCTTCTCTTACTCCATATTCTATTTATTTACTTCTGAATTAATCATTTAATTAATTAATGAACTTGCTCTTGCAATCAGTCCACTGCAGGTAAGAGACTTATTACAACCTTTCACTTCTTTTACATGAATTAGTTTTTCAGTGTTAAAAGTTCTACCGACAAAACTAAGTGCAAAACTAAAACTAATTTGCAGACATGATTCGCTCCGCTTCACAAATTACAGCCTGTTCCATTTCCCCTTTAAGAGCGCGAGCTCAGCGTGGGGGGCGGGGTCAAAGCCCAGCGACTGCATTCCAGCCAATCAAAGCCGGCGACCTCCACAGCGAGCATCCGATTACAAAAGGGGGGAGGTGCTTGGTGCAACTTGAGAGACGTGTGCGTGGTTTCTAAGGCAACCGCTCGTCTTGACCTCCATGTCCCCGTTCTCGTCAAGGAAAGCTGGTTTCCATGGAAACGATCGTATCTCTGCGCGCGGCTCGCTTTCCCGTAAAGTGATCTGGTCGGAAAGCGGCCCGTTCTTCCAGAGTGTGTCGGAAAATTCTAAAGAGGAGGAGAAAAAAAAGATGGCGTTTGAGAAACACAAGTCTGTTAAAAAAGCTCACATTAGCCTCACAGGCTGTTCTCGCGCGCTGTTGTGTGCATGTTGAGGTGCAGGAAAACGCCTAAGGAACTGAGAGGCTGATCTCTCCAGGCCATATAAGCCTAAAACACTGAAAAGGTTATATGTTATATGTTATAAATGTTGTATATGTTCGGGAAAAATGAACGCGCCTTATGTTTATCCATCATATAGTCTGATATTAAAACCGCCTTTGTGGGTTTTTTTTAAATAAAAAAAAAAAAAAAACAACCCACATTTCCTCAAGGTCTTACAAACTTCTTGAATTCATTCTAGTATTTTTTTCTTTGTGAATGTTTTGAATCGACTTTGTTTTTACTAAGCTTGTTATCAGTAGAACGTCATTTCTGTGTTTAGCCCCGCCCCCTGCCTACCACATAAAGTGTCATCTCCACATCTGCATAAAATCCTCTTTCAGCTTTTCGTGTTTTGCAGATGTGCAAATGTTTTTCCAATCTCATGAACTTAGGTCAGATTTTTTAACTCGATATAACAACAGTCTGTTTTCCTTTTATTTGCTTTTGTGTTGTTGCTGTCTTCAGCCCACATGTTCGCAGCAGCCGCACTGACACACACTCACTGAGAAGGAGCTCTTTTTACCTTTTTCTGTAGAAATATCCCAAGTACTACATATCCTCAGCATCCGTATACGGGCTATATCATCAGCCTGAGTAAAACAGCCTGTAACAGGGTGTGCTCTTACAGGAAAGTCATCAACTACGGGGTGATGTGATGAGTCAGGGCCATTAGCACCCCAAAGTGAATTATTTTCCAATAACATCACATCCGCACCAAAGTGCTTTATTCCTCTTTTACCACAGCAATTTGCCAATGATAGCATTCATTATTTGAATTATTAAAGAATGACACATCAAACTTTTAGCTCTTTATAGTCACATTTAATGTTCTGAAATGGAACATCTGCGAAACAAGTTAGTTCCTGTTCTCACTTATGTTACAGCAGCTTTAAACCGTTGTTCTCTCACCAGCATCTCTTTTTTTTTTTCTCTCTGTCTTGAAGTAAATATGACAAAAAAAAATGCAGCTCGTTCTGTTACTGAGAAACTGGAAAGACTCGTGATGGGAAACGTACTGGCTGTTACATCTCGCTGACACCCGAGACGTTAAAATAAGTGTCTCCGGACAGAAAGTTTCACCATATCAACTGTTATGTGTTTTTATTAGATAATAACAAACATCTGTTTATCTGTTTTATTAGGTATTAATAAATTAAACCTGTGATTTGAATGCACTCTTGTCAGAGCTGCTGTTATAGAAAATGAACCCACACTTTCTGACCAATCAGATTAGCGAGTTCAACAGCGCTGTGGTTTAAGCATCTTTCAGATGTCTTTTCATGTTAACTGAGGAATCATGGAAGCAAAAGGATGTTGTTCTGTTCTATCCCTGATTGGAAAAAGCAACCTTAGACAGTCATTTTTCTACAGGGTGCCTGTATGAGAGGGTTACGTCCAGGGACATTATTTAAATTTTCAAACTTGAGATTTAGAATAACCGCCGACATAGAGATGTTAGCTAGTGCGTAATATCTCTCGCCGTCTACCTCTCTGTTTTGCTTCCTCTGCTCTCTCTCCAGTTTCCTTCTTGGACCTTTATCTGGAATCTCGACTTCCTGTGACCTGTCGAGACTCATCTGCATACCATGGGCTCTGCGTCGGTCGGTGCGCGTGCGTGTGTGTGCGTATGTGTGTGTGGGGAATGTGAGTGTGTGTGTGTGTGAGTGTGTGTGTGTGTGTATTGGGGGAAGGGGGCGGGGGATAATTAGTAGAGATACGGAGAATGGAAGAAAGGGGGAGCTGTATCTCTCTCTCGCAAACGCACACACACACACACACACACACACACACACATGCAGTAGAGCTTATGTTTAAAGTCTAGCTAAATTTTCTTCTTAGCACCTTTTTTTTTTATTATTATTATTATGGCATTATTTCAGGTAGGTTATATACTAGATCTCCATTTGTCAGAATGCTATATAAAATATATGCCCTTTAAGTAAGATTAAGAATCACAATTAAAAGTATATGATGAAATATGTATAGCTGTTTCGATTCAAATAGTGGAAAAAGATTTCCATTCTAGTTTCTGTATCAGTTATTGTCTGAATGTGCAAGGTTATAGCATATGGTACATAACCTACCAATAAAAATACTGTAACTCATGAATGGATGCTGTTTTTTTTTAATTTTTTTTTTTTTTTGGCTCGTAGCTGTAAAATAATTCTGATCATTGCCTTGCCAAAAAGAGTGCAGTGAATTTGTGATGGAATTTAAGTAAGACATGGATGCGGTTAAGCTTTCTCTCTAAACAAAACCTGAGGCAGTACTTAATAGGTTAGTTTTCAATGATATCTTTGTAATACAACGATATTTAGATACAAAGTATTAAAATATCTTAATATTCAATCCTGAGGGGAAAACCAGTCTTTATCCAGACACATCACACACCACAGTGTTGTGAGAACAAACTTTCTCAAATCCTTGTGCGCTTACGTCATTGCTCACTTTGTCCTCTCTCAAATCCTTCCGTGCTCTTGCTTCTTTTTCACTTAGCGCCTTTTCTTCCCCCGTGTTCAACACCGAGCGCTCAGGCTCGCCCACACGCAGCAATGCTTAGTCTAATTTATGCCGACCGGAGGAAAAGATAAACGCTATTTTGTGAAGTAAGAACACGTCATTTGCACATTTCAGGGGTTTATAATTACACAAAGCAGTATTTCACTTCTGTCGCAGATGAAAGTATGCTATAACGCATACCTCCATAGGAAATCGTAGGTCAAAATAGTAGGGAAGTATGAATTACTGACTACATGGTACCTGATTTCATGTCCCAAACTGTATATAACACTATACAGATACTATATAAAAATATTAGGCCACCGAGAAAGTATGGCAAATTAGTGGCTACTGCATACTATCCATAACATGGCAACTTATTGACTATATGTCCGTATCTTACGGTACAAAATAGAACCATAACTTTATGTACCAAAAAAGCATATTACATATACTAAATGGTACCCCAACCTAGTATGGCACCATAAGTAACTAAATCTCTTGGTATCTGATTAGATTTTATGGCTATTTCCTAACCACATACTACCCTACTACAACAGTATGTCAAAATAGTACAGTACAGTACTGAAAGTTTTGAAACGGCAAGGCCAATTCTTTTGTTTTTGCTATACACCAAAGACATTTGGGTTTGAGATCAAAAGATGAATATGAGACAATAGTCTCAGACTTTCAGGTTTAATTTCCTGATATGTACATCTAGATGTGTTAAACAACTTAGAATATAGCACCTTTGAGGGTAGACCACCCAATTTCTAGGTGAGCAAAAGTATAGGAACAGATAGTCTTAAAATAAGTTAAGTTATTTTAAATAAAATAAGTAAATAACACTTAATGTTTGGTTGCATATCCCTTGCTTGCAATAACTGCATCAAGCCAGTGACCCACTGACATCACCAAACTGTTGTATTCTTCTTTTGTAATGCTTTTCCAGGCTTGTAGTACAGCTTCTTTCAGGTGTTGTTTGTTTTGGGGAGTTTCTCCCTTCAGTCCCGTCTTCAGGAGGTGAAATGCACGCTCACTTAGGTTAAGGTCTGGTGATTGACTTGGCCAGTCTAAAACTTTCCATCTTTTTCCCCTGATGAAGTGCTTTGTTGTGTTGGCAGTGTGTTTTGGGTCGTTGTCTTGCTGCATGATGAAGTTCCTCCCAATTAGATTGGATGCATTTCTCTGTAAACTGGCAGACAGAATGTTTCTGTAGACTTCTTAATTCATTCTGCTGCTACCATCATGAGGTACATCATCAGTAAAGATTATCGAGCCCGCTCCAGAGGCAGCCATGCAAGCCCAAGCCATGACACTCCCTCCACAATGCTTGACCGATGAGCTGTTTTCGCTCATGAGCAGATCCTTTCTTTCTCCATCACTTTGGTAGAATTTAGTCTTGGTTCCAGAACTTTTGTGGCTCATCTCTGTATTGGCTCATCCCGGACAATGCACAGCGTCACCTTTTTGGGGGCAGTCGTGGCCTAATGGTTAGCGAGTCGGACTTGTAAATCGAAGGTCATGGGTTCGAGTCTCAGGCCGCCAGGGATTGTAGGTGGGGGGAGTGAATGAACAGCGCTCTCTTCCACCCTCAATACCACGACTGAGGCGAGACCCTTGAGCAAGGTACTGAACCCCCAACTGCTCCCCGGGCGCCGCAGCAAAAAAGGCTGCCTACTGCTCCGGGTGTGTGTGTGTGTGTGTGTGTGCACGTGGATGGGTTAAATGCAGAGCACAAATTCAGAGTATGGTCACCATACTTGGCCACAAGTCACTTCACTTTCACTTTTATTTCTGAATTCCAAACTGATCTTCCGATTCTTACCGCTGAGTGGTTTGTGTCTTGTATTATGGCCTCTATATTTCTGCTTTCGAAGTTTTCCTTGAATGGTGGATTGTAATATCTTCACCCCCACCCTGTGGAGGTTGTTGATTATGTCACTGACTGTTGATTTTGTTTTTTTCTTCACAGCTGTTGTTTTCCTTGGCTGACCTGTTCGATGTCTGGTTGTTGGTACACCAGTGGTTTCTTTTCTTTTTTTTTTTCCCAGGACATTCCAAATTGTGGTATGGGCTATGCCCAATGCTTGTGCAATGGCTCTGATCGATTTTCCCTCTTTTCTCAGCTTTTCTCCCATAGACAGCTCTCTGGTCTTCATGTCGGTTTATCCTTTTTAACAACAAATGCACTCTTCACAGGTGAAACCCAGGGCTCATACCAAGAGTAGACATTCAGAGCTATTAATTGCTTAAACAGTCAATCTAACAGGGCACACCTGGGCAACAAGAATGACCTGTCAGTCATATGTTCCAATATTTTTGATCACTTGGGAAAATAGGTGGGTTCAAACAAAAAGTGTTATGTTTGACACAAAATGAAAGCTGGAATTTTGATCTATCGTCTCATATTCAACCAAAATGTTTTCAGTGTATACTTTTAGAGGGGATTATTACAAACTACTGTTGTACTAAATAGTATATAAATAGAATATGAGACCAAAAGTCACCTGATTCGTGATAACTGACCCCATGGGCGTTAAATATATTTCGTTCATAAATGATGTTTTCTGAATGAGTCACTAAGGTGAATGAATCTCTGGTGAGTCATTCTTTATGTCCACTTGCTGCTGACACACTTCATGATTATCAAACATAGATTTTACATAGGTTTACGTGTTCGTCATTGGATTTGCAGTTCCTTGTATATGTTCGTCATTGTTTCTGCAGTTGTATGTACGCCAACCTGACAAACACCTCTTTAGTCAGTGAATGCTTTCGATCACAGGCGAGATAGCCTTTGATCACGTTAAGCTTTTTCTAAACACAGACATACAAACGTATTACAAAATAACAATATTGCTCAAGCTGTGTGTTGGTTTTTGTGGTGCCATAATCAGGCTGCGCATTTCACCAAACCGCGCAACTGCCTTAATAGGTGAATGAATCTGAACGAATCATTTCACTGACTTGAAATGAATTGAGTCAGTAAAACGACCAAAGAATTTCAACCCTAATGACCACATCTTACTACTGAAGCACATTTCTGCCTGGTAGAAAACTTCTCTCAAAATCGTGGTTTATTTTCTGCAGCTATCTACGTTTTCTGTGAACCTAGTGCGCTAGTTACCTATGGACAAAGCTAGCTAATTAGCTGTTTATTTATCCCAGTAGACAGCTTTGTGCTATGCACTGGATAAGATTAAAAAGAACACAATATTTCCATTGACCTATCTTCATATGTAAATATGACGAGTAAGAATTTTGAGACAATGCGTCAAAATTTTAACATCATAAATCAGAATGTTGTGATACCAAGTGAAAATTTCAACATACTGGTACTGCAAAAAATAAAGAAAAAAAATTATATTACTTCATGTACATTTATACACAAAAATATGTTGGACTGGCTATATTAATTGACTCCATATTACCTGACTTCATAAACCGTGTACGTCTGTACTAAATAGTGCACCATAATAGTGCGTAGCTGACCATTAAGCAATATTGCATGAGCAAGCGTGCTGTTATACTGAATATCAGCATGGCTGTGATTCGGCTGTAAGCACGAGGCTGCAGGTAATCATGTGCTGATGTTCAGTACAACAGCACAATTTTGAATGTGATATTGAATGTGATATTAAGAAATGAATATCGAGCAACTGACATTTCAGACACAGTATGGCCAAATATTTAGTTTAGTTTTGCGCCGTCAACGAAGAAGCCACAGCTGGATAGAGTGGTGCATGTTGCCGTGTAATGCATAGGCTGACTGACAGCCTGTAGTAAGTGTAGTAACGGTTTCAGTGTAATGAACTATTACTAGGGTTGGATTTTATTGTTGTGAACACAGACAAGAGGAGTGATACAAAGTGAAATGTACCAGTGCTGTTATACTAAATATCAGTACTCTTGGAACACTACTTGTCCAATCAGATTAGTGGCCTAGAATTAACCGTTGTGTAATGTCCCACACTGCATGATAAAATAAATAGTATATCCAACTAGTACAGCACCAAAAGTAATGAATTTCATGGTATTTGAAATCATGGCCACGTCCAAAACTAAATACTACCATACTGAATTATTCAATTCAATACAATTTTATTTGTATAGCACTTTTAACAATGGACATTGACACAAAGCAGCTTTACATTAAACCAGCTTTCTGGTTTAATGCTCTCCTGCTTTTTTGCATTAAAGTTCATAGGTTGCGTTGAGTCAGGTATTAGCTCACACCCTCTACCCAAAATAGTATTCGAAAATTAAGGCATGCTTAATGGCCTATTCAGATTAAAATGGAAAAAGAAAAAAAAAATGTTCAAAAAAGACCTTTTCATCAGCTCCCTTAGTCATTCTCTGTCTGACATTTACAAAATAGATGGCCTGTGTGTAGGCTGCTAAGAATACCGCTAACGTGTGCTATTGCAATATAGCAGGGAAGCTAAATGAAGATGGTTTTTACATAAGCTTGATTCAGACAGATTACTTCAGGATGTTGTGAAAGCATAGGCCTGTAATTATTTGTCAGTGCCACTATTCACAGAGCAAGAAGAAATGCGCCGAGCTCTAGTTGTGATTTGCTAGCATACTTCCCGCTTAGCTGAAGGGAGTGTCTGTGCGCTGAGGAAACGGGTCAGGAAACGGTGAGTGAGTTGTGTGTACAATCCTGCTTTAATGCACTCCCTCTGCTGGTGTCCACTTTGTCACCCTCGTGAGCCGTACGACTCAGCCAGGGGAGGAGAGAGAAAAACAGAGGAGGAATACAAGAGCAGGAGGCACGCGGTCTTCCATCTTCGTATGCATAACGTAGAAGAAACGACCAGTGCTATAGACCGGTTCTCTGTCTACTGCCTCTGTCTTCCATAGCTGCTCACTGTTTTTTGAAAATGTTTTAATAGAATATTATATTTAATAGAATATATCGTAACAGAATATGTGTGTTTTGCTATTGCTAGTGAAAGGGCATTAGGGCATCCAGAGCAAAAGAGGCATTTCCTGTTTGTGGGTTTGTAATCCAATAGGATTAATAATGAAAGAGAAAATGAAAAACAAAGAGAACAGCTGTTTCATATGCACAATTAGTTCATCAGCCAACGTTTCTTTTTTTTACTGAAATTGTGCAGATTTACATTTGATTGAGAGAGACAGTGTTTCCAAGTTTTTTTCAGAATCTGGTCACAGAATTCCTGAAGCATGTTCAGGAAAGCTGGAACACCCGGAATTCTAGAAAAGGGGCCTTTGCGAGAGAGAGAGAGAGAGAGAGAGGGAGGGAGAGGGAGAGAGAGAGCACTCCATAAACAAACACTGCAGCGAGCGTTAATAAAACCCACATGCTCGCGCTCACGAAGAGGGGGTGGACGCTGGGAGGGAGCAGGTACTTTCCAACTGCTTTCCTGTAGTTCACATTTTGTAGCACTGCAGCTACTCCGACTTCAAATTTGCCCATATATGCAAGGAAATGCTGCTTTAACACCAAGGAAATCTATTTCTGTGTTTTCTACGAGTTAAATAAGACATGCTATGGCAAACCAAGCTAAACTAGACTTGAGGAGATAGTGTTCTGTTATTTTAACTTCTCTTTACTTTATAAAATATTCTACATCAGGCACACGCCCACCAACCTTTATCATTATGTCACGATATTGAACATCTAACTGTATAAGAACAAGGCTTGGGAACTTTCTGCAGCCAGAGACGCCTTTCGGTGTAAAAAGCCTTTTTCACGGACTCTCTCGTGATCACAACCCAGATTTGTTTTTCTGCACATAAACCCTATGTGTGAATTATACAATGACATATGGGTCACATTTCACAGCTTGCGAACTAGCTATCATATCATATCATGCAAGTTTTATTTTCTGCACTTAGTGACACTGTAGCTGGTAATATATGAAAGAGTTTTAAGAAACAACAATAACACATGGGGGAAAAACTGTCATAGAAAGGGCAGAAAAGTGGCTTAGCTACAAATAATATTGCAGTTGATTGTGCTAGAAGTCGCTAGCTGCAACTTAGCTAGCAGCAAGATAGATTAAGCAGCTAATGTTTGCTGATAGCTAGCATACATATTTTCAAGCTGTTCTACAAAGGTAACCTAAATTACAAGATTTGAGTGGTACGGGAAATAAAATAACATAGTTTGATAGTTTGGGTTCGATTTCAAAAGAAGACTAAAATAATGTGCTAATACACTCAAAGGTTTCCCTCGAGTTTTACATTTTCTCTTCAAATTACTATATTGAGACCATGAGTTAACATGAATATTTTAATCTCGTGGCCGCTAAATGTCATGCCTCCACCTGATTATTTAGTGGGAAAAAATCGATTCGCTTTGAGAATTAGCTCAAAGTGACGTGGGTTGATGGTATATCCACGATGTCACAACACCACTGACTCCAGTATGTCTTTATACAACATTCCAAGACTGAAGTAAATGGTAGCAATATCAATCATCTCCATGCTTAGGTTCCTGTGGCTACAGTGGTCTAATTCTGTGATTTTTGTTTCTCACTCCTTTTAAAATGCACCAGTTGCCTTGTGGCCAC